TACCTATCAATTTTCTTTTGAGAATTACTTAAGATTTATATCAGCCTCTGAGCTTCCTGGCTTTTTTTCTTTCCAACAATCAATGACTTCACTTCTCCTTATCAGGGTGGCTGTATTTCTCTTTCATTGTGTGAGTTTTAAGATTTAAGGTTGGCTATACCTGTTATTATTGATTTAATTCCACACAGCTACTTATGATAAACTTTCCTCCCAGATAAATTAATCAGTATTTTTTAAAAATATCATAAAGATCAAAGTTTCTGCTAAGGTGACTTAAAAGTTTTAGAAAAGAGAAGACCTCATATTCCCTCCTTCCTTCTGCTGGTGAGGAGGATGCTCATTTTTCTGTTACAATGAGCTAAATTTCTTAATCGAGTATAACCGAAGACCTTTCAGCTTACACTTCTGAAAAGAGTAATTGTGGTTGTAGGCAATGTCTTTTTCAACAGAGGTTAATAAACACATGACACTTCTTAACAGCACTAATGGAAATTTATGTTAAAGTCATTTAAACTCAGAAGTCATAACTTGATCTAATGTCTACTTCTGTCATAGATTCAACAAATCCCAATTGTCTTAAAGTCATTTTTATGGCTAAAGATTCTGGGAAATGTCATTTCTAAGCATAAAAAATGGCACATTTCTTCTACATTTCATTCTTGCATGTTGTCTATAATATGCCAGTATTTCATGTAAAATTCAAGTCAGCCACACAGTTAATTTTATGAGTCCATTCTTTTGCCACAGAGCTATGACACTGAACTCAAGGGGGCTGTACTGAAATAATTAATGTGGCAATTCCCGCTTCAGAATGATAAGTGGGTAAATAAACCACTTCTGAGGTAGAAGAGCTCAGTCGACAGCAGCACAGAAATGATGACTGTCCCAATCTTCTATGTTTATGATCATCTCATATTTAGATTTTTTATACTTGCCCAGTTGTACATTGGACAATGACGCATTTGTCAATTTTCAGGATTTTCTCTTAACCCCGGGGTTTCATGCAACAGCAGAAGCAAGCAGCCACACAGCTCTGAGCTGTCAGGACACCTTCCAGCATGCTCCCCACCACGGCCACGGAGCGGAGAACGCCCCAACCTCCCCCCCCCCACAGCCACGGAGCAGACAACGCCCCCAACCTCCCCCCACCCACGGCCACGGAGCAGAGAACGCCCCCAACCTCCTCCCACCCGTGGCCACGGAGCAGAGAACGCCCCCAACCTCCCACCCACGAACCTCCCACCCACGGCCACAGAGCGGAGAACGCCCCCAACCTCCCCCCACCCATGGCCACGGAGCGGAGAACACCCCCAACCTCCTCCCACCCACGGCCACGGAGCGGAGAACACCTCCAACCTCCCACCCACAGAGACCCAGGTCTTGGGTTGCTCGGTGTAGGACGTACAAAATAGCAGGTCTGATCTAAAATGCTAGAGAAAAGGAAACAGCTAAAAACCAGACAGGTTCCTCTGCGTCCACAGTCATCTCTGCTTACATTATGTGGTCCACGAGCAGGGAAGATTCTGTCTACTTCCCTGCTTGGTCAACCGGGAAGTCCTCTGAACTGCTCTGAGGTTAAGTCTCTTCCATCTCAGAACAACCAACTTACCCTCAGTGAGCTGTGGGGAGATCCTACCAGATGCTACCTGGAACCACATGGCCCAATCCTCTTGTCAGAGAATACTTCTGTTTTGAGGGTAAATGTCTTTTTTCTCAAGTGCAGACCCTGGACCGGCCACCTGAGCTAACAATGGGCAGCAAAGCCTTGATTCTCACTGACCAGGAAGAGCTACAAGTGATGGAGATTCACACCATGGGCTCATTTGGGAGGAAATTCATTGCTGCTGTGACTTACTTCCCACGGGAGGCTGAACTCAACAAAAAAGTGTGCCTGCTTTCTCCAAATTGAGCTGTACCTGCAGCTAAAGGAATACGAACTGTGGTACGTTCATGAGCTGGACGCAGCTGTGGGAGGTGCTGTCCTGGGTTCTCTGACAGTCCTTCCCCGAGTGGGGGTCATGAATGTCTACAGCAACAATGGCAAGCAGTGGCAGAAAGTGTGAAGTGAGGGATGAAGTACCACGGGAATTCAAAGCAAGGAAAATACCTCCAGGCCCAGGACTCACAGGGACCTGGAAGGAGAGCAGGAGTGTGGCACGTGAGGATGGTGGAGGTCCACTTCAGGCTGCGAACACCGGGAGTCGTGGTACAAGAACATAAAGGCGTCCAAGACTCCACGGTGGAGAATGACCCATAGTATCAAACCGTACACGTTGGGAGGGATGCTTGGGGCGGGAGGGCACATTCAGAGTGCCATCAAGGGAAAACATTCTTGCCAAGTAAAGACAAACCCCTAATTTATCTCCGCGTAGCGTTAAAATCTCATGTAGTGGATACATTGTATTCTGCAGTCACAAAACCTGTCCACCATGTAACTCAGCCTTCCCCCAAAGACCAGGGAACCCTTCTGAAAGTGGCACGTGGGCCCTGCCACACTGAGCCCAGGAACACGGCCGTGACTGCACGGGCAAGGCTCTGCTCCTTGTCTGCACAGCGTCCCTCCATTAGGCGAGGACGCATCATGCACATGTGGAGACTCTTCCCTTTCCTGACAGGGCTGCTCTAGAGAACGGTGGCTCAAACTGCAGGCCCACTCAGTGACCGGGACAAACAATCCTTGGGGAAAACAACACATCAACTGAAAACAAGGATGCCCACTACCCGATTTCACTATGTTGGTAATTCTGCAACAAAGGGAAAACTCAAATTTCCAATGCCTTTAAACATTTATAGGTACAGTATTTGGGACTGAGCATTATAGCTTTTTGTGTTTTAGATATTTTTACATCAAGGAGTCAATGGTGATTATTCCTAGGTGGACGGAATTATGGGTTTAATCATGTATTTACTGGCTGCTCTGTGTTTTCTGATTTTTCTAAACTACTCCTTTATAAAAAAACTCAATCTGTAAGAAATTTAGAACCATTCAGGTTATTTCCCTTATTTCTCTAAACAATCATAAAAATTCAGTTTTAGAATATTTAACAAATCTTGTTAGGCACTTACTGTGGGTCAGGCCCCCTAGAAACACAACAGGGAGCACGACACGTGGGTTTCTGCTCAGAATGCGGGCTCTGCCTGCCCCTTCCCTACCATCATGACACATTGTAACTTTTGCAGTGTTTAAGAGAAAACTAAGGTATTCACTGACCAGCCCTGCTTCAAGGCCTCTGTACCTGTCCTCTGGCTTCCTGGGGCCTAGCTGACATGCTGCCTGCTGGGGAGGCCCACTTGGACCTCCTATGTCCAAGTCACCCTTTACCCTCCTACTCTGCTGGTTTTTACTAGGAATATTTTACTCACTCACTGAAAACTCCCCTGGACGCTCAGTGTCTACCTTACTGAGTATAAGGATGAGTTCAATAAGAGTAAAATCTGACTCAGGTTGACATAAAATACTTTATGCCTTGGGAGACCCGAGGCCCAGCAGGGACATTGCTGTGTGTGACCGTGGGGTGTCCCCGGGCCCTGCAGGGACACTGTCGTGTGTGATCATGGGGTGTCCCCAGGAGTTGCAGGGACACTGCCGTGTGTGACCGTGGGGTGTCCCCAGGCCCTGC